GGGTTTTTGGGGTGTTTTTGAAAGAAAAATCGAAAACTAAGGGGTCAAAACGCAATTTAAAAAAGTTGTCTCACGTCAGCTGCCCGATCAGCAGCCCCGGCCAACCAGGACATGCCAGGTGACAGAGACACTGACGCGAGAGGCCACGCAGAAGGGAGCCACGTGGGCGATCCGTGTGCGCACGATCGAACGGCTGAGATCCGTTCCCGCGTGCACGGACGGCCCAGATTGCATCGCGCACGGACGGTCCCGATTGAATCGCGCACGGACGACACAGATTGAATCGCGATGAACGACCCAGATTCATTCCATATTTAATCGCGATCGGACGGTCCAGATTAAAAATGATAAACAGCTGATATCAAAAGTGGATGGGTATAAATAACTTCATCTGCACCCAAACCCTAACCCTACCCGCCAGAGAAGACAGCCCAACCGCCGGGGAGCCGACCGTCGCCACCCGTCGCCGTACTGGAGAAATTTCTGGCTACCAAACGAGGTAAAAATTCTACCATTTGCTCAAAATTTGATTCTAAACCCACCTATGGCCAAATCGGAGCGAAAGTATCGGCTAATTGGCCAGAAAACGCCGTCGAAGCTCAGCGACGCCGCCGCAGGGTGTCTCGATTTTTGCCTCCAATGAGGCCCTTTCCGATTCCCGTTCGATATAATTTTTTCACCGTTGTGATCACCGTTTCCTTCTCTACAGGTTGACTGGAGCAAAACACCCAACCGTGACGTGAGCCGGAGGAGCCGCCGCACCGAAGAGCCCCACCACTGGTGAGCTTCGATTTTTCACGTATTTTCGGCCTACCGAATGCCCTAAGTGTGTTTCTCACAGGAACCGATGCAAGTTTGGCTGAATTCGACCGAAAATAGCCAACCCGATGCAGATCGCCGCCATGTCGAAATTCTGAAATTGGCCAAGTAGACCCTGGGTCTAATTTTTTGGGTTATTTGGGACATGTGTAGGTACCGTAAACGTGTTTCAGTTCCCGATAAAAAATTCAAGGAACCCAGGCACCACTTGTAAGCGCAGTAAAAATCTAGTTTTTGACGTCAAATCAAATAAGGACCCCTCACTTTATTTTCTATCATAGAATTAAAGTTCGAATAAATGGTAATACTGTATTTTGTGCAATTAATAAATATGCATAATTAATTAAGGTTACTAATGAAGCCCGAAATCGGACATTATTCCTTGTCGATTTCTGCTTAATTTATTTTACAGTTTAAATATATTATGATATCTGGTTTATCTATTTTATGGTTTGAATCACTGCTTACTTCATTACTGTTTGATTTTGGGAATCTAAGATATGCTTGCTTTGTTGGATGCATGTTACTTGTTTATATATTTATGTTTGAGTTGGTGACGGAAACTAAAGACAAATAGGAATGGGATGTGATTTGATAAATGAATAAGATGACAGCCTCACTAGATATCCTGGGAGATGGTGGACAGACTGGGTTCATAGTGAACCCTATCATGAACGTTGTCTCATATCGGACGGGGTATGGAGACTTGGTCATTTGGCGCTCATACCGGACGGAGTATGGGGACAGTCCGCTTCACCCTCATACCGGACGGGGTATTGAAGTTTATTATTTTGGCGCTCATACTAGACGGGGTATGAGGACGGCCCTAGAATTAAGATTGTTTAAAGGTAATGGTTCATGTGTAGCGATGACCCATATGGATCCCCATGAATACTAGTAGGTTGGTGAAAACGAGATAATATGACAATCAGTTATTGTTAATGAATACAGATTTATGATATAATTTATGTTACTGATTATGCATGAAATTATTATCTGTATAATGTTATTATTTTTATAGGTTGTTTTCACAAGTTCTCCAAGAGTAAGAAAAATGGTAAGTGATTTTATATTAAATAATTGTATTGGTTTAAAATTTGTGCTCGATTGGTTGTTTTCAGTTTTCTATCAACCTTTACTTCTGTGATGGTAATATAGTGTAATGTTCTTATTAGGATAATGTAGTTCATTCCTTATTTAACCATTTCAGGTCATGAGGACCTGGTTCCCGAGCCTGATCCATAAGAAGACGGCGAGTAGATGCTAGATACTTTATACTTTCCTTTATTTTTTCTATTTCTCATATTTCTTTTAGAGAACTTATTCAGTGATATTGTTTAGTACTTTTAAATTTTGTGTAAGGGATGTTAACCTTAATCTTTTATTTTGCTTCCGCACTCAGATTATTATATATATTTCCTTTTAAATTTCCGGAGTCGTTATAATTTTACTCTTTTTTATTTCTCAATTCAGGTAATGTGTAAATAATTTTATTTATTTTTCATTTAAATTTCTTATAAATATAATTAATGTAGCAGTATGTTATTAATTTTTATTAATATGGCTGCCACATGGTATCCTTTTTTTTTTCTTTTTCTTTTTCTTTTACTAACATTAAGCTGAAATTAATGTCAATTAATTATGTTAATAATCATACTGTGTTGAACTGTTATTATTGTATGTACACATTCATATATAAATACCATTTTCTTAAACAATTTTACTAGTCTGTTTTGGAAATTATAATATTATAAAATACTTAAGTTAAATATCAATTTCAACATAGATTATAATTCTTAAAAACTGTTACTTCCAAAAAAATTAAGATCCATGGCTAGAAAATTCTTACCCACAATAAATGCAATAAAATTATAAACTCAAGATCTCTGCAACATTATCCTTCCAAGAATTCTAGTCATAGAAAAAACCCAAAGAAATTTGATTGTCTAGGAATATCAACAATGGGGTGTAGAAATTGAAACAAAGAAACTACCTTCAAAGCAGTTTTCCAGCAGGAATATGATCATTTCATGCATTCATGTAAAATTAATTTTCTGAAGGAAGGAAAATTTTATGAGACATGGAAATGTTATCCCATTTCCTTGTTCTTTCATTTATGATAATTTAAAAGTAAAATGACAGTCAAGAACCATAGCCTGGTAAGCAATGACCAGATTACTATGGTAGATATGTTTTAACAAACCGTTGCCCTGCTCGCGCATATCAGCTTTCGGGCAAACCATGTTTTCCAACTCTCAATTCTATCATTTCTCTTCTCTTTTCCTTTTTACATTCACATATGGGATCATCCTATATAAGAAGCTGGATTACCTTTTTAACTTCCATATGAAAGTTAAATCTGCACATGTGAAATTATCTCAAGACAGTCTTCTTTGCTTTCAAAATTTTAAAGGCAACATACAAAACATTTACATCTTCGAGATCAGCAGACGGTACGGCCATAACAGATTGATGCGATGTAGAGATTTTTGGACCATTTTTCCTGAAAGAGGATCATGGTAGAACAATTAATCATTATCTCAAATAGGAGAAAGATAATTTATTCTCTTCTGGAGTTAGACACAACATCTCAAAAGCATTTAAACCTCTACCTTAACATGGGTGCTCGGGAAAGCAGAGGTTCTCAGAGTTTCCTGAGTTTCATCCAGCATCTTTCGTTTTGGTATGCTCAACACAAAAGCTGCTTGATCTGATGTGGCAGCCATGGCTGTTATCCTGAAACCATTCTCCCACCGGCGATGTATTCCTTCACTTGGGTACAAAAAGTCTAGTTCCACAACCTTGAATTAACAGATGAAATAAAACAAAGATACAGCAAAATCAGCAATTGAGCAAATGCATATACATGTCTTCACTACGGAGAAACTAAACTAAGTCCATACCTGCTCAGAATATCCAGAGTTCCTCGACATTACCACACCCCAACGACTACCAGCAGTTGTCATGGAGGTCACGTGAAACCCTTCCTTCCACTTCTTATTTATCCACTTGAAAGGAAAAGACTCACTCACTTTATAAGACTGCTGGGTGTAAGGAGTTCCTGCAAAATTGCAGAATTTTATAAACCTCAGGACTGGTTGGTTAATCACAAAACAGTTTGATCTATTGTAACGTAAGATTTCAATGTCTAAACACAAAAAGAAAGGAGCCAAGCTTTGACCTTCATTCCTATGCACAATATCTTAGAAAATATTGATAGAAATGAACAGCAATAATTCCACTAAAAAAACCACAAGTACTCTTCGACATAGCAACCAACCTTTGGACATCACAACCAAAGAGCTCCCATTACTTGCACCAGCTATTGAACTTATATAGTAATTCTTTTCCCACTGTTCCATAATCCAATCCTGTTAAAGTTCAAACAATTAGAATAATCAATGATTACAGCCACAAGAACATATTATAGATGATATCAACTAATGCCTTTCAACTACCTTGTGCAGAAACACAGCCGACAATTCATAAACTTGAGAGGTGAAACCTGTCCCAGCATCCATTATCAAGGCCCAGAGATTACCAGCAGATGCTAGACAGCTAATATACAAACCATCCTCGTTCCCCTTTTCTACATGCTGACGCAGCCTTGTGTCTGCAACATTGTAGTGATATCTACACACCCAATAAACACAGTAATTACTTTAATGCTAAGCAAAGGCCAATATTTCCTACATGATTTTAATGTAATGGCATCAAATATCTTATCTGATACCCAGAGACCAATTTCTTGAAATGTGCATTAGTAGATTCAAGTACCACCAAGCATTAAATGAATTCTTAGCAACTCTCAATACCAAGTTTATAAAGCATAAGAGTCCACTCTCTTGTAAATTCCTTTTCAACTTCTTGCTCATAACCCTACTTCTAGCAATTTGGATTTCACCTTTTTATAAGGTGAAAGTTGCAGGTCAAAGACTTTTCTCCTGATAATAGTTTGATTGTCTTTAAAGCTTCAAAGACTAATAGAAAAATGTCATCCCCACTGCGAGGGGGCTTAACAGCAATATAATAGGTTCATAAAGCATAAGTGTCCATCTCTTGTAAATCCTTTTCCAACTTCTTGATTCATAACCCTACTTCTAGCAATTTGGCATTTTACCTTTATAAGGTGAATGTTGCAAGCCAAAAGACTTTTTCTCCCGATAATAGTGTGATTGTCTTTAAAGCTTCAAAAACCAATAGAGAATTGTTACTGCACTGCGGTTGCCTTTACAGCAGTGTAATAAGTTGATTTTTGCTGCCTATTTGGGAAGGTTGGATTTACCCACCCAATATTAGAGATGTTTTTCACCACCAAGGGGGCAAATAATAGAGCATAAAGTACTCTAGAGGGGCATTCTTCTATTAATAATGTAATGTGCTATAGGGCTCACGACAATAAGACACTTGTCCCCAAACTATGAGGTGGCTTCATGGCTTTGCAATAAGATGCTTGTTTGCCTCCTCTGGGAGTAATGGGTTGCCCACACACTCTTAAATGGTTTTCAACGTCCAAGAGGTAGGATGAGTAAGAGGAGCATAGAATGATAACAAAAAGGGTACCCTCTGTTGGGTGCTCAGTTTTGTGGCTGGAAGTTAACGCCAGAATTTTTAGTCAACATGTTAATTTTTCTTTTGAGTGTAAAGTCATCGTGTTAAGAGTACTCATTTTATTTGCAATAAGAATGATTTGTATGTCTCTTTATGGACCAAGTAACAAGGTTCTTCCACTATGCAGAAGAACTACCAGGGTATCTTACATTGAAATTTTTTTCCACCTTATCCACTTCTGTTTCTTTCCTATTTTGGTGCCTCTTATACGATAATACCTTATACAAGTTTACCGTATTTTCTTTAATCTTGGTAATACTTTCTTTTTCTATCAAAAAGAATAAACTTCATACAGCATAAGACTCTAGTAGCATATCAGGTATCACATTCTTAAGATTGAACATAAAACTAACCTTGGATTCGATTTTTCCTCTCTAATGACCTAATTAATAAATACTAAAAAGGCAACATCATTGGAAGATATGAAAATAATTAAATGTAATGAAAATTCAACTTCATTGTTGTATTAACTCTTACAATAAATCACATATTATTAATTTATGTTCTTGTCTTATCTCATTAATTAATACCGTAACCATCCTTTTCCAAATCCATTATATTCCATTAACTATTTCAAAAAAAAAAAACAAAAGATTGAAGTTTCAGTTGACCAACAGTTAAATACAATACCCTTTCAGGTCAAGCAGATCATTATTGAAAATTTAAAGTATTGGCATCATAAGAATCAAAAGTAGAGCCACACTTATTGCCACCAATTTAATGCTTTTCTTTTAAGTTGAGCAGCCTGCCGCAGCTCATGTTCAGCCCAATAACCGGGGTAAAATCATGCATTGCCCTCAGACTTTCCCCTCCAAAAACTAAGATGGCTGTACTGATTATCAGCCAGTATCTATCATTCATATTCAGAACTAATAACAAAGAAGGCTAATCTGGGCAAGTTATGACATAAACACATGCATAAATTGCAATATTATGTTGGGAAGTGACCCGTTACCTCTGCTTCATGGGACGACGGGCATTATAAACCGAAATCCATTGGGTGGCAGGACTACCTAATCTTACTCTTTTCTTTGGCTGTTCATCCTCTTCCAAATTTATAAGCAGCCTTCCCCGTTTTTGGCCAACCTATTTATGCAAATAAGCAATAATAAAAGGTTAGCAAATCAGAGAAACCTATCCTGTTTAAAAGTGAGGGAGAGCAAAAAACAAAAAACAAATTAGAAACAAGAAACAACGACCTTAAGTGCTCCATCAATTCTAATTGGTCTAGACAACACGCATGGTTCAATTAGGGTATCAAAAAAAGATATAAGCTTGGCATAATTAGGCTCTTCATCAAACTTCATGTTTGTAACAGCTTCAAGGAATTGTTTAAATGGAGCAGGACAAAAGCAACACATCATCTCTGGAGAAGTGGCCATCTTCTTTTTACAAACAAGAAAACTCTTATTATCACCCTGCAAATTGGAAAACAGACAGTATATATTTATTAATGAGAAGAAAGGAATAATGATAAAAAGAAAAAAGATTAAAGAAACCTTTATTGCAGATCTTGAAAAGACTAGAGAGAAAAGGATTAACAAAAGAAAGAGGAAAATAACAAAAACTTTACCTGGTATCCCTGCCATGGTAATCTTCCCTTTATGAGAAATATTAATGTGTACGCCAATGACTCAAGATCATCCCTTCGACTTCCTGTGCGACCTAAATGGGCATGTACACTTGCATACCTTATAGTTCCCCTGCAAAAGGAATATACTCAAATAGAAGACCTGGGAAATTTTTTATGAATATTTGGAAATAAAACATTCAACACACCTAAATATGTCAGGCCTCTGATCATAGTCAACATGCAGACCAGAATGGGCATCTTTCCATCTTGATGCTGAAACAGACATGTGTTAGTAGCACAAGCCAATAAATCAATAGACAAGCATTTAGCGAGACTAACTTGGACCATGGAGCAAGAATAGAATGACATGAATTTTTCCGTTGAAAATCACTCAAATTGTTAAAGCTACATAGTGAACTCATGATTGATTACCATAGAAAGTAAAAGGGGAGGAAGAAGAACATACCCAAGCCAAGATCAATAAGATACAGCTTCTTCTCATCAGCCGTTCCAGGTTGACCAAGTAAAAAGTTTTCAGGTTTCACGTCTCCATGAACAAACCTTGTTTAAGAAGAGATCAATCCATAAAGAATGACAATTAGTTCTAGATTTCTCAGTATGTATTATAATCTGGGATAGTGTGCAAAAAGCAAAAACATAGAAGTTATAGTAGAACTAACCCCTTCAAATGAAGCTTCTCAAGAATTGATATTGCCTCCACTGCAATGCAGGCTGCCATGTTTGGTGACATCCTATCACATGTACTAACATATTAAAACAAATCTGGTCGGTAGCACACGCACACAATAGGTACAACAAAGTACAAGCTTGCGAATATGCTAAATGAAAGAGAGAGAGAGAGAGAGAGAGCAAAAGCTCTCAATTTCTTACGATTGTCCCAAAGAATTCCAGACATCCCAAAGGCTTGGACCAAGCATGTCCATCACCTGAAATTTTGATTTAATCACCTTAAAGCACGATATTCAAGGAAATTTAAACATCAAGGAACTCCAGCTCAAGACTTACCAGAATATAAAAGTCTCCTTGGCGACCCTTAAAATGCACCCAAGGAATTCCATAACAACCATTTAGAGTACTTAAAAAGAGAAAGAAAAGTTATCGAATTAGACGAAACCCTTTAAATTAAGAAGGTTAGAATTACTAAGAAATTCAAATACTAAAGACAAGGTACTAACTTGTACACTTGCCACTCGTAAGGAGGCCCATAATTGCAGCCTTTGCTATTTCGATGCTCAAACTTCAAGGCAACCTGAAAAAAGAGGAAAGATCAGACTTTAACCCACAGTATATTCAGCCTTTCAGTTTTCGGTCTCTAGAAGGGGCCATGTTATTTGTGGTAATACCTCAATGGCATCTGGCCCAGTTCTATCACTGCCACCGGCTCACCCTTCTGCCAACATAAACCTGCCCAAAACCACCCTTACCAAGCTTCCTTTCTATCTTATATACAGGAGAATTACCCACTTTGCACCTGCACAGGAAAGACAGCTTCTGTTGAAAGCTTTCCTTGAAAGTGAAAAGCAAGCTAGTTAAAATTTTTTCAATTAGTAATTATGACAAGGGTTGCTAATACGAGGAAATTTGGAAAATTAGCAAATTTCTTAGTAGTAACAGTTCAGCCCAGCAATTTTCTATCTAATGCTCAAACGCTCCACAACTGCACTCATTAAGATATAGTTTCAGAATGTTCAGATATAGTGATTACCCTTTCAGGGACCGGGGTATTGCTAGCCTCCTCCTCAACCCCCACTATCTTCTCTGCACTTCCCCCCTCCATGGCAATATCTTTATCAGCCACCACTTCTAGTCGATTATAAGCAGGTTCAACAGCTGCTAAAGCACCAGCACCAGCTTCAGGAAGAGCTTCACAAGGTTCTGGGTCCAAATTTATCACCCTGATTCCCCGACCTCTACCTGCAGCAGTTGGCCTTGCAGGTACAGCTGGTGAAGGCGCTTTTGCTAAAGCTGTAGCATTACCCCTTCCTCTCCCACCACCAACTCTTCTCCTTGTTCTATTTTGGGGTGGCAATACCCAATTCTCTCCTTGATCAATTGGTTGAGGGTTCGGCTGAATATCATCAAGGCGTTTGGATCTCCGTGCTCCGCTTCGCAACTCTGGCATCGTCACCCCATGCAAATCACATAAACAATTGTGGTTTGTGTTCCTTCAGATCACCTGCCACGTCAAAATAGCAAAGAAACATCCAGGTTACAAGCACGAAACTAGATAACGTCGCAAATGGAGAGCTCATTAATAGCAAGCATTAAACTATAAGCTTATCCTTATGCAAAATATGTATATAATAGATATCAACCCCTCTTGCAACGACAATGTAGAATTTCAAATCACAATAATAATGACTAAGTCAGAAAAATTAAAACTGAAAGAAGCAGAATTTTCCACTCTTTCACTAGCTTTTTATCTATAGAGAATCAGATGCATAACATCAAAGGTCCAAGGCTTCCAGCGCTGAGAAACACAATAATCTTGAGCAAAAGGTACCATTTTCCACAAACACATAAAAAGAATGATTCTTCCACGCACCCTGCAAATGATTAACCTAATGTAGTTAAAAAGCATACGTGAATCTGTGCATTTTACGCATTCCGTTTATGAAATCCACTTGGCTCCTCCTTCAGGTTTAATAATTATTTCGACCAAAAACAAACACTGACCAAAAATCACTCGAACAATTATGTTTGGTTCTATAACAGACATATCCATAAACAAACATCAAAAACACGCGTCTAATACCAAGAATACAACAATCAGATCAACCTAAACAATCAAACAAAGCAACAGCAACGACCATCATGAAGGATAAAAAATCAAAAGATCACACTTCAGACATGGAACGACACGGATTCTCCAAAAACCAAAAAATCTTTAATCCGATCATTGAAAAATAAAAATAAAAATCTAACTTCCTCAAAAAAATCGAAAAAATTAAACCGATCGTGAAAATAACTCATCAGTCATCGTACTCTTCACAGAATAACTCAAAAAAAAAAACAAAAAAAAAATAAGAAAAAAAAATACTCACAGATCGATCCTGAAACCGAAAACTGCAGAAAGTGAATGATCGGAGAGAGACGGAAACCGAGAGCGATCAGAACTTAGATCTTCGTCAAGTAGAGTGAACACATTCCCACGGGAAACTGAAACGGACAAGACGATGAAACTACGGTCTCCTCTATTGAATGTAAGCTAAAAGAAAAGAAGAAGATGCGGAAAATTTAGGGTTAAAGGGACGGAATTTGGAGAGAGAGAGAGAGAGAGAGAGAGAGAGATTTGATTGAAAAAAATTTTTATCTGATTTTTTTTTTTTTTTTTTTTTTGTAGGTGGAGATTTGGGCAGAGAGGCCTTTTTATCTCATGTGTATGTGAATGTGTGTGCGTGTGATGGTGGAGGTGATGCTGCTCTTCTTCTTCTTCTTCTTGTTTGTGTGATGTGTCTTCCCCTCATTACCGTGTTTAAATTAAAGTAAGAGAAAAAAAAAAAAAACATATATATATTTAAATTTTTTGAATTTTTATCATTAAAAAATATATTTTTATTCTAAAATTAAATAAAAAATCTATTCCTATAAAATTATAGAATAAAAATATATATTTGTGGATTTTTTGAAAATTTTAGATGATTCTCTTTTTTTTTTTTAAGATTTTATTTGTACGTGTTTAATAATTTAATATTACGTTGTGAACAAATTTAAAATTTATGTATAATTTATTTAAATAGAATAATACATTATAAATCATATTAGATGTAATGAAATTTACAATGCATTGTTTTAATTTAATATAAAATTTATATCAATTTAATTTTTATAATTTAAGAAAAATTTTACATCATTTTTAAATTTAGTTTAACATAATATAAAATATTTTTTTTTTTAACTTTTGAAATTCACACACATATATACATTAATAAAAAAACATATATAAAACTACTAATTTTAAATACTAATTTTTAGCACTTTTAAATATTATTTTTATTATTAACTATCACGTATATTTTTTAAATTATGAAATGAATTTATGGGATTTTAAAGATAATTTAATTAAGTTTATGAGCTTCGTATGAATTTTTTTTTTAAAAATAATAAAAATAAAGCATTGAAATGTGGCATCTTTATAACCAAAAAATCATAAATGGGTTGTTTGTATAGACTTGGCAAAGACATAAAGGAAGACTTGATATTGTCTACACATAATGCATGTGTACAATGACAAAGATACCCATGTGAGAATTGAATTTCAAAATTTGTGCCATAGTGTGTGGTAGGTTTGGATATACGTGCATACATGAATATTATATGCATTAAATATGAATGGCTATCTACATATATGTGTATATATATTAATGTGTGCATTTATATGTATTCATCATATGAATAGGACATCTAATTTATATAACTAAACAAAATGATCAAAGGATTTAAAAACAAAAAAACAAAAAAAAGCTTTCAAGCTCATACCCATATAATTTATTATATTATGAAATACATTGTTACATAGGGTTAGCAAAATTATTGAAAAATCATTTAATGTTAAAAAAAAATAAAGTAAATAATTATAGTAAAACAAATAAAATAAAAAATAATAAAAATAAACTTTAATTAATATGAAAAATATTTTAAAAAATATAAATAATAATTTAAATTAATTAAATATATTATAAGCCGCAAGTGATTGGATATAATTAATTTTAAGCCCATTACCCAAATCGGCCCATGTTGTTTTTCAGCCTAATACATACATACATACATATTAAAAATAATCACATATTATTTAAAAATATATATATAAAATAAAGAGAAATTTATTTATCTTTTTACATTTTTTTAAATATTTATATTCCACGAAGCATGGAGTATAGACTTTGCGGTCCCAGACCCTGGTTCGGTATGGTAGAGACAGGGCAAAGTGCAAAGTACGAACTGAGATTTGAAACCCAGACGAAGCGAAAATGGGTTCATCTAGTCAAGCCACGCAACTCGGCACCGACGCAGCTGCCACTCATTCTCCTCAACTCAGGAAGGACTCGGTGACCAACCGGTGGGTCATTTTCTCACCTGCTCGAGCCAAGAGACCTACCGATTTCAAGTCCAAGTCGCCACAAAACCCTAATCCTAACCCTACCTCATGCGCCTTCTGCGTCGGTCACGAACACGAGTGCGCTCCCGAGATTTTCAGAGTACCGGACGAACGGCAGTGGAAGATTAGGGTAATTGAGAATTTGTACCCTGCTCTGAGCAGGAATATCGAGAATCCAGTTGTCGAGAGAAATAACCCGCGCGAAGAAACCGGAACGTCGGGGAGAGTCCTTGTCGGGTTTGGCTTCCACGATGTGGTGATCGAAAACCCGCATCATTCGGTTCAGTTGTCGGATTTAGGTCCGAGTGAAGTTGGTGATGTGTTGCTTGCGTATAAGAAGAGGATTGGGCAGATTGCGAGCTGTGATCTCATTGAATACGTTCAGGTTAGTTATGTTAGTATGATGGTAGATTTGTTCCTCTGTGTTTTCTGACTAGAATTGGCTGGGTGCTTTTAGGTTTAGTTTGATTTAGAGTCTCTAGTCTCATCAGTATGTTTAGAACTATCAAGCTCCCATTCGAAAGTCTAATTATTACTATTTATGAGTAATATCCGTTGGTTGATCAGATCATGATCTCGTCTGACATGGATAGGGAGACAAGTATTTAATGTTTAATGGAAAATGAGGTTCCGGGTTAGCAGCAATGAGGGACTGATTCTGGGGCGTCATTATATGTTTTCACGCATAAATATGCTTAAAGGCGCAATAGTTTGATGTTGTAAGTTGATCTAGTTTTGGTTAAGAGTAGAATTCTAAAGCTTTTTTTTTTTGTGAGCTAGGTTTGGTCAAGAGTAGAATTCTAAAGGGTTTTTTTTTTTTTTTTTTTGTGTTAATGGTATAATGTTCTGTAATCGAACCTTTAAGTGGAATAATGTCAACTGTATGTGTCTAGCTCAGCTTATTTTTAGAAGCTTATAAATTATTTAATAGCGTGTTTTACTTAGTGATTTGTTTGATAACTAGCAAATAGCTGTGGAAGCTTTTGGAGCAGTGTTTATACACATCTATTGGGGTAGTTGTTAGATCTATAAGGTCTATAAAAGATTTTGTTGTTGGACAAGCAAAACAACAAAATGGTGATCCCCATACCCTCAAAT